CTGATTCCTCATAACAAGGCATGCCGACTCATAGTATGCTTCAGTTCACTTTGAAAAGAAAATCGACGCTCAAATATAATCTGACTAATCACTGGTCACACAAAAAAGTGCTATCTTGCGTCTGTAATTATTTCAAAAAATCGAATTATTCAATATGGTGGGATATTGTATTCGATAGAACGTCATTTGCTCTAGAATCTTGACAGTACAAAATTTTGATCATTGTAAATACGGCTAAAATATTTAATCGGAGTATCGGTGTGCTTGTTAGTGGTTGCTTCCCACATCTACACCCTCTCAAGAAAACAGAAACAATTACTTTTGAAGTTTTTAAAAGAAATTTTACATAACTCATCTGCTATTTTTTTTGAAAAATAAATCTATATTTTAACGGGATAGTGACTTACTGCATATTACCTGATATATATCAAAGATCAAAGTATAGTGCAAACATGTGACTATTTTCTCATCAATAGACGTTACATATAAATCGAAACTACGACTGAATATTAGAATCATTTTCACAATGACTTGGACTCCTTCACTTCCCTATGAAGTAAATAATGGAGAAATGGTCATTAAAATGCATTATTATCCGTAGCTAGACCATTTCGTCCGTTAAAATGCACTATTTTTATTGAATAACGGTAAAGAAGCCGTTAAAATGCGTTATGACTCAAAAATGGAGCATTGTGACCATTTTCATAATCACGAACTTTGAGTTTTTGAGTTGCGAATTAATTTAAATAATACTCATAGTTTTTAAATATCATATGAATTACTAGGATTTGCTAATAAAACATAAATTTTTACATAGTCCATAATATTCTTCGAAATTATGCACTAACAATTGATTGAAAGTCTTTGATTCTAATGAAGACATAACAAACAACGCTCAAAAAACTGTTAGCTTTTGCACGGTTTTCAATAATAAAAATCGTTAACTGTCGGATCAGAAAAGATCTTAATTTTCATAACACTACTGAATTAAAATCTTTTTCCTTGGAGATAGATTTCTCTATTTGTAAAAGATCAGTATTTTTTAGCGATGTTGAATTTCTTTCGTCTTTATTAAGATCTCCCCCTCAAAAATCGATCTCAGCCCTGGTTCGTTCGAATCACATGGAATTTTCAGAATAGGTTGGGGATGTAATGGAGAATCTGTGATAAAATTTTTAGCTCGATCCCACGACGTTTCACAGAGATATGGGCCAACCAAGGGTCAAAAATAGCTCATTTGGCAACCCAAATTTCTTGGTTCAGGCTCGTCAGATATATTAAAGTTTTTTTTTTGTTTGAAAGAGCATGTCAGGATGCAGGGCATGAAAAAGCCCGTTTTTTTAATACTTACTTTTTTAGCGGAAAAGAGAATCACAAGTTCAATGACTCAAAACACTCCCAAAAAATGAGTGTCTAATTATATAAGTGTCTATACATATACAAAAACAAAGCTTATTTTAGAAAAAGGATTCTTTCATGCCCTGCATCTTAACATGCTCTTTCAAACAAAAAAAAATATAAATATATCGGATGAGCCTGGACCAAGAAATTTGGGATGTGCGTTCAAAAAAGTGTCAACTGAGAAAAACCGAAAAACATTCTCTGATTTCTATGAAAAAAGTATATTTTTCAAGCAGAAGATGACGAAAATTATCAAAAAAAATGAGATGTCAAAGAAAAAATCATGTTGTTTCTGAAAGAGCAGACATCGGGCTATCTTTCCATGCATTTATCTCAATTTCAGAATTTCTGACAAAAAAGTGAATTTTCTGAGGAAGAAGGCCTTAAATGACCGGCGTACTACGCACAAAAGGCCTAACGCCAAGGCTGCATTTGTGACTGGCAAGAAATGAAAGTTATCTAAAGCGACGAGATACGTTGTCATGTTAAAGCTATAACGAAGATGATTCAGAAGACAACTTTTCTCAATATTACAAGTAAAAATTGAATTTTAATCGCATTCTGAGAGCACTTAACAAAAATTGAACTTTTCATTGAGACGAGATTAAATCTTTAAAATTTAGAGACAGAATTACAACTCTTCAATAGAAAATACATATCAGCGAGCCAGATTAAAAGTCATTGCTTCCTGCTCCAATCAAACCGTGGCCACTATTTTTCTTATTGTTGTATGGTTATTTGATAAGTTACAGTAGTTTTAAAAACAGAGTAGACACTGTTGACGTTTTTCTTGTCATTTATTTGTGACGAAATAATATAATCAATTCAGGACATATTCATATAACACTTTATAAGTATTTATACGATCCTTGTCTTTACGAATAATGTTTTGTAAACAAAACATTTTCAATTTTTTCTTAATGTACACAGTTGATCATAGAAAATACTCAAGAATAGACATATAACTTGGTCTATTTAAGTTGTTCGATTTTTTCCGCAGCTTTTCATTAAATGAATATATGTTTCGTTAGTTTCTTATTAAGAAAAACGATAGTTCTTTTTATTACGTAGATAATTACTGCAACCGACGACACTGCATTTTGTACTGATATAACACACAGCTTTATATACAACATTAAGTGACACGATCAGCTATGACTATAATATTACGTCGTTTATTCTATTCAACTTTCTTTTTCGTAGAACCAGTATACATTGATCTTAACGGTCTTTCGAGTTATATATCTTGTTTTTGCTTTCAAAACTACCTATATACTCAAGTAGAATCAGGAGAAAGACGAATTTCCCAAAGCATGCGTAAAAACTTAGGATCAACAGTGAAGCTGAACGTACATTCGAGATTTTTAACTGCATATTTAAATATATCAAATATTTGACTTCACATGTTTAGATTTTTGTACAAATACAATATTTTCATCAATATTTATGTTATTCAAAGATACAGCGGAGCGCAGAGGAAGCAGCTGAGAGAACGAGTGGCTATATATGTATTTATTGTTTATTGTTCACGCATTGAGGCGAAATAGTCAAGTAACACACATCTGTATATTCACTAGTACTTTCACATAATTAGACGGAACGCACACGATTAATTCAAAGTAATCATCAGATTATTTTTATTTCTCTTTCATTCGCCATTCTCGCTTTTCTGATGATTTCGTCAATATAATGATCGGAAAACCGAATTGTATTTTTGATTATCAATTAATATTGACAATTAATGATTCCTGATATGTTTTTACGAACAAACCAGTCACAGTTTTAAATCAGAAGACATTTTTATTCTGAGATAACTGGATATCCATCATCGTTGTCAGGTATCTAGTGCAGGAGAAATTAAAATCCAAAAACTTTCAAATATTCTTGCAGAAAAATAGAAATTTTAATTTATCCCATGAAAATTTTACATTTTCTTGTATTTTAATTTCTCCTATTAGATATCTAATCAACAATAAATTTATTATGTTCGTTCCCTCTCTCCAACAATTTCCCATTTTTTCTGTTAATATTTTGTTCTGTTCTGTATATATGAATAAATCTCATTGGTTCATTCCCATTAGTTCATAATAACCTTTGTCTTCGAACAAAGAACTATGATATCATTGTAAAAGGAAGAAACAGATAAATTCAATTCATTTTAAAGATAGACGAGCTAGTTGTAACAAGTTTGCCGTATCTATATCTCACATAACTAAGAACACGTCATAAGATGAAATCTTACTTAAATTTTTGAAATCATTTGCGCAACTTATTATATCAGTCAATCGCCACTCACGTTGTTATATATTTCCATTACCAGGAAAAATAAAGTCCTTAATTTTTTCAATTTAATCGGGGTAACATTGCGGATTAGATCTTCTATTTAATTATAATGTTGCCGGGTGATATATAATAAGTACCGAGATATTAGTTATAAATTATATGGCCATTCGTTTTAAATCCAAGAAATCTATCTCATGTTATGCTATGAATAAAACGATAAAATATGTTTTAGCTCTATAATAAATTCTTGTCAGTTGACATATAACTGACATGAGCCATTGAGATAAAAGAAAAAAATACGCACGAATAATTATGATATAGAGAATAGCTTCATCGAGTAAAATATGTATGATACATCTGGTATCAGGAAGAAGACGAAGGAAAGATCAGTTGAGTATTTATAAAGCTTTGTACATATATCAATCATTTGTTCGCCAATAAAATATTTCATGAGACATTTTGTTTTTTTAGAAGACTTATAGTCAAATATTGACAGTTAGATATAAACTAAAGATTTCCACTAACTACTTATAGCCTAAATATAAGATCTAGCACACAATGCTGTTCCAATTAAATTGAAAAATCTACATGTCCTTTATTTTGATCAGGATAATTAATTTTTTATGGTTTTGTGTATTCTCTAAAGTTTTCGTCTTAACTATTTTTATATGATCTCATATCTATAATTCATCACATTATAACTTTCTAATTCTTAAATAACTCCTGTGTAGTTAGTTTTAATCCATTTATGAGTCGAAAGATGTGAAGTAAAAGAGGATCACGTTAGCAGCCATCTTTCATTATACACTAAATTTCTTTCAATGTTCGTAAATCATATGAAACAACAGATCTATTTTCATGATGAATAAATATATTTCTTACCTGAATGATTTAATGAAAGTTTTCGTACAAACGTCAACCTGGCTTATATTAAAAAAGAAAGAATATGTTGAAAACGCTAGTTGTCACTACATGGTACTCCTTGGATTTAGTTCTAGGTGGTATTCAGACCTTTCCAGCTTAGTTTTCTGAGAGTAGATTTTTGACTTCGATTATGGTTGTGTAGATAAAATATTTGAATCAGCAGTGAAGATACTCAGAGAATATACCAAATTAGAAATGAACCAAGAAAATTATATGTGATGAAGCAGAAGTATAATAAATATTCCGATAGTACTAATGACTATTTCACTCTAAAATAATGTTTTTAATACTGAGTCTTTTCTAAGTCCGGCAGCAGCGTCGAAATCTAAAGTAGTTTTTCCTAAGGACACACCAATGAAACCTTTGCGAGACACCTTTTTAAGATCCGTAACATGCAAAAAGGTTTCGGTATGCAAAAATACAAAGTCATTCGTGTGCAATAGAACTCTCTTTAGGAATTAGGATGCATTCTATGCGAGTTAGCATCGAACCAGAATGGCTTTCTATTTTTGTATACCGAACCTTTTTGCATGTTACGGATCTTAAAAAGGTGTCTCGCAAAGGTTTCATTGGTGTGTCCCTAGGAAAAACTACTTTAGATTTCGACGCTGCTTTCGGACTTAGAAAAGACTCAGTATTAAAAACATTATTTTAGAGTATAGCATGGCATTAAAATGTCAACGAACTGAAATAATTATAACGATGCCAAGCGGTCACAAAAAATGATTTTTTTGGTAAGCATTATTTTATCATATTTAAAACCATTTTCACGGCCAAAAAGAGTCATTTTAATGATTCTCGTGAACAGCATTTTTTGGGCATTTTTTGTGACAGTTTCGCATCATTATAATTATGTAAATTTCAAGGCATTTTAATGCCATTACACCATTATTTTTTCTGTCTGGGTTGTTATTCTGTTTTTACTTTTGGTTGCTTGTTCGATCGAAGCTGGATCAAAACAACGCCGTGAAGTATTAGTACATGATGGTATGTTCGCATTTATATACATTAAAAAGACTATTTCTATTGATTTTTCTTAAGGTAAATGTCCATCTAATCATTTTCCCATTCATATTCATTGTCGTCGTCGTATTTGTCGTCCACAAGATTTAATTCCATTGTGCAAAAGCGATGGTGACTGTTCAACAACACAAAAATGTTGTCGTCCCATGTGTTCGTGCAGATATCAATGTGTTCAAGCTATTCTTGAATAGAAATAAAGAACAAGGCTTTTAAGAGAATATTTAATAGTTATTTGAATAATATAAGTAAATAAAATTGAACTAAGGCCATTCATATTGATTTTTCACGTGCACAAAAAGAAAGAATACATTAATCGTAAGAAACAATTTAAGTTTGATAATAAAAATCGAAGTAACAGAAGATATTGATGATTTGCATAGTCATTTCTACTTTATCTCCTTTCATATATTATTATCCTTTAATCATGATATCTATTAGATATATGCTTTCTCAATTGAGTTATCCAATCAATAAATGCGGATTGTATGTCCTTGGCATTAAAATATATATATTGCGATCATAGAATAAGCTTACGATCTAGTTGAATGAGAAAACATCCTAAACCAAAACAAAAGATTTATGATATTTTATATACAAGTTTTCATACTTGTCGACAACAAATTTTGTTAATCTTGAAATCGTTAAGGCAAATATCGAAAAATTTTTACCACTTGAAATATTTCTTTTTCCATAATTGTATTATTTAGTCAAACAGATTATCATACTTCATATAATCCAAAATATACATATCATTTCGATTAAATAAAGAGATACTTATTGAAAAAAAGTATCGAAGTATTCTTATATATCAACTAATTAAAATAATTTCATCAATGTTATCTGAATGAAATAATCATCAACAAAATTATTCTAAACAACTAAGCGAAACTGTTTTTTTTTTAATAATAATGGAATATTTATTCAAATTTATTTTTAGATCCTTCTATTTTCATAGATAAACGTTATCTATACTCTGGATTCAAAAGAAAACCTTTGGTTTGATGTACAAAATTGCAAATTTTGGTGATATCATTAAGATTCTGGGCGATGGTGATAATGAATATTTATCGATAGAATCAGTCAATTTTTAAATACATACAATTGATCTTACTCAATTGTTTCTAATCAAACATAGTGTTCAACCCGCAATATGATCGAATTCGTTTCTCGTATTCGTACAATGGCAAATTATTTGATTGAAAATGACTTAAATATGTGTGAAACAGACACTTTCAGATGGATCATTCCATCAGTTATCAAAGAATCTCAGCTATTGTTATTAGAACACGATGAAGAAGACGATGATAAATGTGCGAACAAGTATCAATAATGCATACGTCAATATTTCAAATGGAGCAATTGAAAAACACGAAAAGAGAATCGGATTCCTTTTGATTAAAGCTTAACAACTAATGAACAAGTAGTACCACTCGATAATCTCCAAAATGCTAATAGTAAGAAGCTATGGACCAAATAAGCATTTCGATTCAGTTCATACTCGATTATCTTTATTCTATTTGGTGCACACTCAGATAAGATCAAATGAAGATGAACTATATTCGAGTAAAGTGCTATCAGCAGGCAGTGGGAAAGAGAATTGTAGGACAAGTTGATTTGGTAAATATTTCTTCTTTCAATATCTTCAATAAAAATATCCTTATGTACAAATTGAATGAACCATTTAACATTCGATTAGTGCGTAAAGCAACACTTAGTAATCAGCAAGCTCAGTCGACACTTCGAATTAATTTTTTTACGTCAATATTGTAAATTCCGATCCGATATATAACCGTTTCAAAAATTTTGAAAAAAAAACTAATTCTTTTCTGATTCTTCGGTCATTCCACTTTGTGTAAGCTGTTCTCTTGACTGGAATAAGACCACATGAGGTCCACAGCTTTCGGCATTCGAGATTCATTGGAAAAAAATCGAGTTTATCATTAAGAGGAACACATTTAGCGATTACGATTTTTGATTAATAAGATTGTTTCAATCTACGATTTTGCAATGTCTCAATAAACGAATGGACGGGCAAATATATCTGATAGGATGATGCTTACACCTTATCTTGTGTTGAAGACAGGCTTCCCTTCAAAACGCTTTATAGTTGACCAGACAATTCCAACAGAATTGATGTTGGCATTTTTTACAGGTCATATGGAAACAGCCACCATTCTTCTCAATTTTATAGTGGCATCCGAGACATTTTTGAGGGTATGGGTATGGGCGTGGATGTGAATAGGAGTGGACGCGAACGGGTGTGGCTTTTATTATTCTCTTCGCTCACACCCACACATATAAGATTTTAGTTTTTTCCAAACAAAATTGATATTTTATTTTATAGTAGGCAAATTATAAACTTGACTGAACATTAATTTTGGCCAAAACATATATATGTATATATATAGTAGCTCCTATACAAAAATTCGTTCAATCTCGGATCGGACGGACAGTTTTAGGACGAATCTTGGATTTGCCAAAGGCCATCAATCTATGAATGGGAAGATCTGTTAAAAAAGAACCTGCTTAAGATTCCAACTTGTGTATTAATAAATGAAGATTTTTTAAATATAAATCAATTATTTCAATTGGTTTGGCTTTATTATTATTATTAGAAGATATTTTTAAAAAATTGAATAAAATATGTAGAAATAAATGCTTATTATTTCGTAGGTGGTTGTCGTAACTGTGGTTGTTCATGGACACAACATCAAAATATGGTATATACATATGAAATAAAAGAAGCATGTTTATTAGCTGATATTGATCTACTACTTATTGATTTGAGTGAAAAAGAATCAAAAGTCAAAGATGTTTATAAAAAAATTTAAGGATTTCTTCTTGAAAACGAAATCCTTCCATTAAATGGTGCTATTGTAGACATCTTATACTTATTATACGAGAAGAACGAATTAAAAACAAAGCTGGTAGTCAAAATAATGATGTTATTCAAGGTCTTGAACAAATAATGAAAGGTTATGAACAAGAAATAAATTTATTTAGAGAAAAAATCAAAAATGAAATCGATCTATCGAATAGGAAAGATGTACTTAAACCAGAAAACATATTTCCTTTAATTGAAACTCTTTTTCGATTACCCATTAATGGAAATAAAATTCGTGAAAAGGTCGAAGAATTAAAAAGAAGTCAAAAAATATTTCATTAAAACGAGAAGTTTTTGTTGAACTACCAGCTAAAGCTAATTCATCAATAATTATGCTTCAATTCAATAATGGATGAATCCGTAGGGTTTCTACTACTTTTGTGAAAAAAGTTTTTTTTTTTCGATTTTCATACTCTAGTTAGACGTAACATCGTCGAAAACGGTGAGAGATAATAGTAAAATCATTCTTTTGGTACATAAGATTTAGAGATCCAGATCATTTTTTTAGAAACAACTCAATGTATTTGTAATTGGATATGTTGAGAGTCTCAGCTAAGTTGCAAAATGATGAAATTTTCAACGTTTGTAGAGCTTTTAGTTCGGAGCATTTTGATAAAAAAATTTTCCGGAAAGCTCTTATTTTGTAGAAAATAGATTCAAAATACTATAAGTAGTGAAGGAAACTAAACGATAATTTATCAAAATTTCGCAAAAAAAATCGTTTTTTTTGAAAGTTTTTCGTTTTTCATCACTCACAGTGTTCTGAGTCTATTTTCGACAAAATAAAAGCTGTTTGAAAAAAATTTTTTATCAAAATGCTCAGAATTAAAAGCTCTACAAACTGTGAAAATTTCATCATTTTACAACTTAATTGAGACCCAGAACATATCCAATTACAAATACATTGAGTTATTCCTGAAAAATGATCTGGATCTTCAAACCTTATGTACCAAAAAAAAGTTTTACTATTACCTCTAACAGTTTTCGACGACGTTACGTCTAACTAGAATATCAAGACTAGACATCGGCGTGACCAACATTTTTTGGTCACGGTCACGTCACGGTCACGATCAGTTTGGTCACGGTTACGGTCACGGTCACGACCGTTGCTGTCGTGACCGTGACCGTGAGTCACGGTAGCCACGCCAGTCTCTATACGAACGACTATTTTCTTTTTTCTCAAAACAGCATACCCTTCTCTTCCGATAGGAGGTCCCTATATTAGAAGGCTTTCCATAATAGAAGATTCCCTTGGAGAAATACGTGCGAGACTTACTATAAGACTTTATTCAATTATCGAATTTTTCGAAAAATGACAACTTCAACCACTGGATTTACATCATAATATGCTTAGTTTTCAGAGTTTTCAGCTACAAAATTTAACTAAGTGTTTTCAACATTTTATCTAGGCTTTTAAAATCCGAAAAATTCCTTCTCAAAGCATTAAAATCGCTTTGGCTTTCTGAACAATTTTTTTAGTTGCAATCTGTAAAAAGAAAAGAGACATTACCCAAGACCCTCTAGAAAACTTTTGGGATTAGACACAATAGAAAACCTCGGATCTCCTCGTGCGGAGAGACAAAAGGTAATATAACAGATAAACGAAAAAGATTAGGTATGAAAAAAATTGATGAATTTGTTTTTGAGAAAATTTCCTAAAGTTCTTGAAAGTGTATTTGGTCAAAACCTGAATAGAAATGGGTGAAATCAGAACAAGTAGAGAAATGATCAATAGTCGAATAAGTCATCAGATAAGAGTAAAAAAAGTCGAAAATATATGAAAATGACAAATCTTGTTCAAGGAGGTCATGATATTTTTTAATGGTACACTTTTTTCTAAAATATTTCTATGCGAACAGTTTAAAATATATTAACACTGAGTACATTTTTTTTTGGTATCGCGATTGTATTGATTCTATTCGTTCGTTTTAAATTAGCATAATTAGAAGAGGATATTGATACATATTGAAAGAATACTAAGTATAATATTTAATTCTCTAATAAAGTTTGAAAATAACTGCTTTATAGTTACATTGAAAATTTATCGTGACTGGTCGTGACCAGGTTTTGGTCACGGTCACGTCACGGTCACGACTTTTTTTCGAAAAATGGTCACGATCGTGACTCACAACCGTGACCGTGACTCATGGCAGTCACGGCGGTCACGCCGATGTCTAATCAAGACTCGAAAAAAGACTTTTCCACAGAAGTAGCAGAAACCCCACTGATTCACCCAAATATTATTTCAACGAAATAAACTATTTTGTTGTTACACTCGAACTTTTCTCTCTGAAAAACTTAATCTAAATTGTCTTTTTAACATACAACAATTTTATTACATTTCGTTTTTTATCTTCTGATTAAAATAAATACTATTTTGTTCTTGATGGATTATGGACAAAGAACTATATTGCAATTTGAAATAAACCTTAAGTAAACAAATGCATTATGTCTTTTTCTAGACGAAGGTATTACCCATCAGATCATATTTAGGATGTGAGTGCGTGGGTATGGGTGTCGTATGTATCGATGGGTGTAAGTAAGGGTCTTGTGAAGTTCGGATGTGAATACTTCAATAAATGAGAACAAAAGTCAAACATAAATACACCATTACTCACACTCACCTATATCATTGGTAAATGATGTATTTTGCTGGGATAAATAAAATGCAAGTTACAAGTTTCAGATTTGCTCATTCTAATTTCTAAGTTACGTATATGATCATTGTACACAACACTTTTGAACGTATGAATGGCCTAATCATATAGAACTGACTGTCACGAGTTGCTTTCTATTAAACCGAAGTTCTAGAAATCATCTCTCAATCAGACAAGTATTTCTGGGTGTGAGTATAAGCGAAGAGCATACACCTACACTTGCACCTACCCACACCTACACCCATACTACATTCACACTCGAATATGAGTTTGTTTTTGTTGTTTCTAAGCAATTGTCTTGTGTTCTTTACCTTGAATGTATTACTGCTGTTATGTGCAGTCCTTCCTAATAGATAGTGTAGTTGATAAGAATTCAAAAAGAAAAACAAAAAAAGGAGGTAAAACAGAAAAAAAGTTGCCATTATGAAAAAGTAAAAAAAAAATGAATCATTCGACAAACAATAAACCCGTCTTACATACGTAATGCTCGACGAAGTTGGAAGATATCATCAGTAAAATTTACTCGGTATAGTAGGGTTTTGATTAATTGATTTTAATGAGTAACTTCTTAGAAGGATATCTAAGACTAGAAAACGTATTGTGAAAGTATAAGCAAAGCTAATAAAGCCACCCAAAATTAAAAGTTCTCGGGTCTTGTATTCTGTCTTATCGTTCACAAGCTACACAGGAGCCATTCTATTATGTCCCTAAGAAAAATCATATTTTTTTTCTATCCTCAACAATATCATTTTTGTATGTCTTTTTATGCTAGTTATCTTGTTACTGAACGCCTATTTCATTTTTCTACGCCAATATGGTTAACAAAACCGGTCTATATGCTGTTACTAAAATATATTTCAGAAAACGAACTTCTTTATTATAAAATGCACTAAATCACACAAAATACGATTAATTGACACTTCATGATAGGAATACTTTTCATAGGATAAAAGAACTCACTTATAAAATCCTATTATTTCATATGATCGATTCGAAATAAAAATTGAATATTTGCTTTTTCGGCATGTCTTTCAAGATCACCTGTTCGCATTGAGTTTTTATTACTGAACTTGTAACTTGCTCATCTCTTTCTGAGTCAGGTCCCTGATCAGTGTGATCATGGTTGATATTTAGTGGCTGAAGATGAGAATCTATGGTTAGATCAGTATTCGTATGATATGCTTATGTCTATTTTGTTGGAAAAACAATCATAGAGTTCACTGTTCGTGAAAGGAGAAGAATGTAGATGAAAAATAATTGAACTTGATCATAACAGGCATTGTTTTTTACAGAGACCGAAAACGAACCAAATCGAACTCAAATAGTTTCTTTTAATACACTCGAAGCGAACCCAACCCTAACTAATTTTAAGAAAACAAAGACGAATCGAACTCGAACCAGTAAAACTCAGTTCGATTCGGCACCTGATTTTTCCATATGCCGTATACATACGTCCGTTAAGTACATTTTATATTGCTGAAGTACAAACCGCTTTGAAGGCCAGAAAGGACAGAAAAATATTTTTCAAGTAAACGTTAGAAATACACGCATAGAGAAACAAAAGGCATAAGCATAATAGAAAAACTAAAAAATCAGCTATGAAAGGGGTCTTCTAATGTGTTGGGGGCTTTATATGGTTAGAATACTGATTAGAAAGGATTTCGACGTATATGAAATTAATATTGAGGACACATTTCTGTTTACTCCATCGATGGAAAATAAGTTGTCAATCAGCTTCCTAGTAAATTTTCTTTGTTGCATCCATCCCACACAGTTTTAATGATTTTATTGGCTTGTCTACGAGTTCGCCTCTATTTAGGTTGATGTGACTGGGAGTTTCATGAGAGAAAGCATCCACATAGTATCGAGACACTGGCAAAACATGACTGTAGTTGAAGACGCAAAGTCTTCCGAACTAACAGTCATGCCACAGGTGAAGGAAGCAATGCTGTAGAGTTACCTAAAATGCAGTCAAGACGACAGGGAAAACCTTGGACCCACACAGCCATAAATAAGAATGCGGGCGAATATCCTCTTACCATAGGCCATTGCATCATGATGTGAGAAGAAGCTGCTAGCTATAAGACTGTGACTTAGCCTGACTGAACGAAAATTCCGCTCATAAAACATAAAGGAAACCTTAGGATGACAATCTTCCAATCAAATAATCATAAGTGAAAGTGATGACAAATTCCTACAACAACTCATTGCGTTAGAGTGAGGTTGAGAAGGCTTTGGCCATATAACAATGCTTAAGAGTGAGAGCAGAGAGCTTCGGACCCCATAGCAA